TAAAGACAGAAGCTGGGACCAGGTGTGGTGGCACAAGCCTGTAGTCCCAGCACTTAGGAGGCTGAGACAGGAGAATTGCTGTGAGTTGGAGGCCAACCTGGGCTACATAGTGAGTTTAAGGCCAGCCTGAACTACCTAGTGAGCCCCTGTCTCAAAAAACAAAAAAATTTTTTAAGAAGGAAGCTCCTTAGCATATACATGGTATTAAAGGGAGTAGGAATAGTTACTTAGGTGAGAGGGACATACATCTTGAAGAGCAAGGAAGCACAAGAATCTGAGCCTTACCTAGCTTCAATCTTCACTGATCCTGTACAAAAGGAGGACGCTCAGCAAGGACACTGAGAAGCTTCTAGAAGGGAAGGAGGAAAGTACAAGGAATGCAGCATGACAGAAGCCAAAAGAGTCAGCAGAGAAGAGTGTGGCCCTGGTAAGTGAGGTAAAGTTTTAAATGATTGAAGGAAACGTAATCAGGAATTCTACTTTTCATTACCTAGACAATAGTGAAATATGAGCTTAGTTTCTCTTATAAGCCCTTTTTTTTACTTACCTCTTAGGTGCTGATAGACATAATTATTGTTTTAGCTGAGATCCTTGCCAGTGCAGCCTAGACTTGGGCTAACTCTGATAGCCGTAGGTGGATAAACAAAATCTAGATGGATTTTCAGGACATATCCCCTAACTTTCTTGCTGGTTTTGGGCATTGTAGTGGTGGAAAATATTTTTCTGCCTTTCTTCACTTTGCAGTTTATTTCTTTCTTCTATCTGAGGGGTGTTGGAAGCCTACTTTTCCCTTTCTTGACCCCCTTGATAAGGAAGGTAGTCTCTCACAGGCTCAGTCGTTTCCCTCAAGCTCCTAGGCCATCTTGCTTGGACACTGCCATGACCTTTTCCTTCTTCCTCTCCTTTTCTGAAGCCTCCATGACTCTCTTTCTAGAAGTTTTCTTTCTTCCTGATGAAGTGTTATGGTTTGTGTCTGGGTGTCCCCCCAAAGCCTCATGTGGTCATGGGGCAGGCTTTTAGAGTTTGATTGATTATGGGTGTGAGAGCTACACCCGCCTTGGGGTGGATAGTTTGCCTATGTAAGGGAGAGGAAGAGGCTGCTTGCGGCCATTCCTCCCTTTTAGTCCTTGTTGCTTTTGCTGTGTTCTGCCGCCATGAGCTGTTGCCCTCTGCCATGTGCCACTCTACCTTGTAACCTGCCAAATATGGACTAAAACCTCCACAAACTGCAAGTGAAATAAACTTTCCTTCCTTAATTTTGGGTGTCAGGTGTTTTGTCCCAGCAACGAGAGAAAAGTAACCAAGACATGAAGCTTGCTGCTCATCCTGTTTCATGGACTCATAATATAAGTAGTGGCCAGTATGTGAGATTAACTTATGGTCGATAACTTTTGTTTTCCTCTTCTGTTATTCGCAGCCATTATTCCAGTACTTTCTTAGTCCAGTCCTTTCCTTTGAATCTTGACATCTTTAGAGCTGGTCTGTATCACAGAGACTCCAATAGATGGGCTCCCTCTGAGAGCCCAGAATTAAAACTTTGTGCTTAATTTTACAATTGACTTCAGCTTTGAAGAGAACTTGATTAGTTTAAAAATCACAGGACAATGCATACTTACTGTAACTATTTAAACAACACAGAGATTCTAGAATAAATTGTGGAATATAAAAGTTAGGGTGTCTCACAGAGGAGATATGGGAGGGATTTTTCAAAGGGAAGTCCCAAGACAGTTGCTGTGCTTCAGGCAGAGCAACCAGCACAGGCTGGAATAGGAGGTCAGATGCTTTAGAGAGATAAAAGCTGATAAATTATTTAACAGACTTAATTAATCTTGGAAAGTTATACTGAGAATCATTTTTATAGAGCTAATGGAGGGTGTAAGAAGATGTTCAATGAAAACAAAGCAAAGGGAAAATGAGGCAATTATCAACTCTAATAAAAAACTTAAAGTTGTAAAAGAAGGAAATCTAAACATAGTCACATATTGGCTCAGTAATCAACAGCGTTTTACATGATAATAATATAAAATCATTAAATATGCATTTAACTAAAATTGACTTGTATTTATGTTGCATCGATGGGGCAGGGAAAGAAGTCTAAAAAAACATAGGAAATCAACAGAAAATGTGTTGGGTACTTACACTTGTGTGGAGAAAGAGTAGAACAGAAAGGGGGAGTACAAAATAAGAGACTAGTTATGATTTGACTTAACTATTTGCAGGTAAAACTGATAAAAATTAATCAAAAGCAAAAAGCTGATAGTGGAATGACATATTCTGACTTTGGAAAGTTCCTTAAGAGATGCTGCTAAGCAAAGAAACAAAAGAATAGAATGAAATAACAAAAACAATTGAAAAATATTTTAATAAAAAAATTTCTATTTTATTTATTTATTTATTTATTTATTTTTGCCTTTTTGAAACAGGGTCTCACTATGCAGTTCA